AAAGAAATAAAGGAAACCTAGCTGTAGTTTTGACTTTAACAAACATTAATATGCTACTTATTAAAAGGAAGTTAAATCGGGGTGGGGAGTCACTAATGCCTATAATCCCAGCACCCAGGAAGCTAAGACTGGGGAATCTTGAGTTCAAAACAGCCAGAACCTGTCTCAAGAAGGGGAAGGAAAGTTCAAGACCATTGTGGGCCTGAGTCTGTAGATCTCCACTATTGCTTAGATTGTTAGTTGGGTTCATCCTTGTATATCTCTGTGCATTTCCATAGTGCCAGATTTCTCCTTAAATCTGTAATGGCTCCCTCTATTATGGTATCTCTTTCTTGTTCTCCTCTATTCTTTCCCTGTCTCAATCTTCCTGTTCCCTCATGCCCACCTCTCCCCTCCTCTTCACCCTTCTCTTTCTTTGTTCATAACAACATTGTTTGTAATAGCCAGAACCTGGAAGCAACCTAGATGCCCCTCAACTGAAGAATGGATGGAGAAAATGTAGTACATTTACACAATGGAGTACTACTCAGCAGAAAAACACAATGGAATGCTCAGGGAAATTGATGGAACTAAAAGAAACCATCCTGAGTGAGGTAACCCAGTCACAAAAAGACAAACATGGTATGTACACATTCGTATATGGATTTTAGACATAGAGCAAAGGATTACCAGCCTACCATTCACACTGACAGAAAAGCTAGGAAACAAGGAGGACCCTAGGAGAGACATACATGGTCCTCCTGAGAAGGGGAAAGGGACAAGATCTCCCGAGCAAATTGGGAGCATGGAGGGGCAGGAAGAGGGAGTTAGGATTAAAGGGCTCTAAATATGTCAGGACAGAATGCTCTGTTTGGTCCTAAATTTGATCCTGAACTGTAAAAAAAAAAAAAAAAAAAAAAAAAAATCCTTATAACAAACACTGTTTGTACAGTTGGTGAAATTTGAGCAGTCTATAGATTACAGAACAACATTGTAGCAATGTCAGTTTTCTTGATTTTTGTTATTTTTACAGTGGTTATGTAAAGTAACCTTATTCTTAAGAAACACACAGGAGACATTCCAAGATAAATAGACACATGGAGAAAACCTACTCTAAGACAGTTGAGGGGGGAAAAAAAAAAAAGTCATGTGCCAGCACACACAGTTGTCCATACTGAGAGAGTGCGCACTAATGGGTCAAAATTTTAATGGGTTTGTAAGATAGATGAAGGGTAAACAGTTTTTTGTAGTATTTATTCAGCTTTTATAAAGTTTAAAATTTCAAAAGAACTTTTTTTTTTTTTAAATGGGCTTCTGAGCTGGGCAGTGGTGGCACATAACTTTAACCCCAGATTTCGGGAGGCAGAGGCAGGTGGATCTCTGTGAGTACGAGGCCAATGTGGTCTACAGAAAGTTTCAGGACAGCCAGGGCTGTTACACAGAGAAACCCCATCTCTAAAAGCCAAATAAATAAATGCAATGTGATCTTGACTCCTTTCCTAACACACCCACTCCCTGTCTAGATTTTCTTAAATTAGTGAAGAGCTTGCATAATCTTGAACTTTACTGATGAAATGACTTGAAGGAGATGGAAATTACAATCACAGAATGGTAATGAAATGACAGGGGAGAAAGTGAAGCTGTCCCCTTTGGCACAGAGTCCCTCTCTGAGAACAGCTGGGCTTCCAGGTCTGTCCCTCACCCTTGTCCTATGGGAGAAAGGAAGAATTTTAGCCACAGACTTTTTATCATCATTATTTAATCTTAACTTGATCATTGGTACTGGAATATCAAACCACAGAAAGTAGCAACGGGGATGTGTATTCCATATTGTGTGCTCTATCGTAAAAGGGAAGGCCATGCAGAGCTGGGAAGAACCCTGTTACAGGCTGGGGCCATCGTGCTAACCAGAGCACATTCTCCAGTTTTAACACATTTCTTCATGGAATCACTGTGTAGTTGAATGTTTTTAATATCCAGAACAATGAGAGTACAATGTGCTTTGCTGTGATTCAGATATTTATAGTAGGCAGCTGTATATCCCAACCCCAACCCAGGTGTTTAGGTACAGATTTCATAGTTACAAAGAACCCACAGCTTTATCCTCAGAGGGCATTCACCAGAGGACCAAAGCCAAGGAATGTTGACAAAGCACTTTGTTTATCCAAAACATGAATGGAAAGCTGGGACTTGTCACCAAATTCACAGCCAAAGAGAAACAAATCACATTATTAGCAACACATATCATCCAATAGATAACTAGTTAAAGATGAACAAAGTTTATCACAGACAACTCAGGAGACTGGGATCTGGGATCCTAGCCCAGGAGGCTTAGGATCAGGTCAGCTCATGCCCCGCCCACTTCCCCAGTATCTGTAGTTTACAACTGAGTCTTTGCATTCTGAAGACCCCACTCAAGGCCCTGACTCTAGTGGTTTTAAGGTACGCTTTGTCTGTGTTAGTGGGCATGAGTTACCCTGTAAACCTGGCTACTCTCCAGAGTCAGTAAGGATCAGTTTCACAGAACTGCAAAGGCTAACTCTGTGTAACACGGAGCAATGCTCTCTCCACCCCAGGTCTGGGTCCCTTTGCTTTAACTGGGTTATCCCTGTGTTGTGAGTGATGAATACAGGATTAAAATGCCATTTTCAAGGAAAGATTTCCAATTCTGCCAGCAGCCAAGGCCTTAAAGGAGAAGAACAAGTCTGTCTAGAGCTGGTAGGGCAGGTTTTTGCATAAAGCCACACCCTCCTGGGGTCACGTAGGCCTGGGAACTCTGTCTCAGAGATTTGAGCCAATTAGTATTTCTACTAAATTCTCGGCAGGTGTTAACCTGCCCTTCAAAAGGCTCCACAACTATGGTGCATCAAACATTCTCCATCTCAACATCAGCTCTCCGCAGGGCTGGGATAGAGGCCTGGGTGGACTAGCCTTGTCCTGCCCAAGAGTCCCCCATCCTGAAGTCTCCTTGGCCTGTAACTCTGTTCTTCCAGGGTTGGAGGAAGAACTCAGGTACATATCTAATTTCCAGGAAACCAGGCCAATTCTTCTTCTCCCCCCACCCCATCCTCTTAGAAAATGAGGTTGAGAGAGAGAGAGATGGCTTCCACTGAGTGAAATGAAATCCAGATTTTTTTTTTTTTATTCTTTTTTGAAATAGGATCTTGCCATAGACAAAGCTGCCCACTGCCCAAGTGCTGGGATTACAGGTGTGTTCCACCATATCCAGCTGGAGTACGGAGAATTTGTTTTATCAAAACGTCAAATGAGAGCAGATTTAACTGGAAAGTTTCTGACAGGACTTTCCACCTACCAGTTCATGTAGCACTGCACGGCTTTTATTGTGGATCTTTCATTACCTTGCTCCTTTCACAGCTTTCATTCCTTGTGCACGTGTTTACTTTTAGAATCATCAAAGGGAGTATCTTAGCGCCCCCCCCCCCCACTTCAGCCCAGTTCTGAAACTCAAACCCAGGGCTTTGAGCACGCTAGGCAAGCACTCTCCATGGAGCACCGCTCCACTTCCAGTTTGCTTATATAAAAATACTTGAGCTAAATAGTTCAGTGAAACTCCATTTTTAAATAATTCCAGTGTACAAATGTGTATTCATAAATTTTTTTTTTATGTCACTGTAACTTACACTTAGTTTTTAAGAAGAAACTTGCACTTAAACAGTGTTTGCTTTGGTGCTAGGGGTTGGACCCAGTGCCTCATGCATGTGGAGGCAAGCGCCTGATCCCTGGGCCCCTCCCAGCCAAAGGGTTCGCATATAAGGACCATGACCAGCTGCACTGAACCCTTGACTGTAAGTGTTTGAGCTTCTCACTTTTCAGTGAATCTGAATAAGACTGAGCAAGAAAGTAATGTCTTTCAGATATGGACGACCTAGAAGCAGGGGAGGGGGGAGGGAGGAAGAAAGAAGAAAGAAAGAAACAACATTCCCTCTGTTTGCCCAAACAGCACCTCTTTCCCAACACAGGACAGTGATCTGCGCACGTTTGGGTGTGAGTTAGGGGTCTGGGTGAAGGGGATTGGAAACTTCAAAGACTCTTAAGGAATTTTGAAAGCATGAAAGGAATTGTATTTGTTTTGCATGTTTTGTGTTTGACTTGTCCTGAGAGGAGATTAGGAAGCAGTTCCTCCGAACACAGCATGAAAGACCCAGCATTCTCTGTCCTGGAGAGGATTCTTCCTGAACAGGGCTGTTATACAATCAATTTCTCCTGAGAACACAGCATATTTAGCAAATGACTCCAAATGGGCACCAAAAACGATATACAGTATTTGTCTAGAGAAATATTTACCTCATTGGTAAAACACCAAAATAACTGTATGGAAACTTGGTCGTCGTTAGTAGCAGAATAGAAGCCCCTTTGGAGACCACGTGTGCAAAGTGTGCCAATGTCAGCATCCTTCTTGACTCAGGATTCTGAGAACCTGATGGTCTGTGGGAATCACCATAGTTTCACTGGGTGAAGGGGTTGTCATAGTTATAAAATGGAGAGTAAGAGCATCATTCTGCATATGAACAGAAAAACATGCCACAGTACAAAGCAAAGCACGTGATAGCTGCATAATAAATGCTGATTAAATTACAAAGAGTGATATTCTTAGAAGCCTGTGGAATATCACTCTTATCCAGAGGTGACAGTGGCTTGCATTCTCCTGATTCTCAATGGTATAAGACAATTTCATATAGACACATACATATTGCACAATACTCTATGACAGAATGCCACAGGGGAGGATTTCCATCTGGTTCCTACCGTCCTTCACAGATCAGTTCCCAAAGTCATTGTCCATGACCACTCAAGTGTGCTTCCAAAGAAGGACCCGAGTCTGCCTTTCTGCTTCACCAGCAAACTCTAGTGGCACCAAGTGGCCTTAGTAATAGCCAAGACTCACTTCACATGGCAGATGTTTGACAAGAGATCTTGAGCCTTGACAAGTCTTTGGGAACTCAGGATGGCAGATGATGTTCTTCGAAACAAGTGAACCAGACTGTGGTTGTCTTTCTTTCGAGGGTCATTGCTGACTATTCAGGGTAGCTTGCTGTTCCCTTGCCAATACAGTTTCTCTTCCGCTTTTTTCTTTTTCCACCGGCAGAGGAGCAGCATCTTAAAAGTCTTCCGGAAGGTTCTGTTGCAGAGAGCATAGCAGATGGGGTTTATGGTGCTGTTGACATAGCACAACCAGTAACCCAAGTGCCATAAGGTGACAGGGACACACTTGTCACAGAAGGTGGAAACCAGGACCATGATGTTATAAGGGGTCCATGTGATAATGAAGGCCAGGAGAATGGCACTCAAGGTCTGGGCTGCTTTCCTCTCTTTGACTAGGACCATTCTCTTTCGTTTGGTTATTTGATGGCTGAGGTTGGGATCCAGGTCTTTTGTTGATGGGTCTTTGGACACTGGAAAGGTACAGGGCATGATTTTCACCTTGCGACAGCCATTGTTAGTCTCCTGGGTCCCGTCAGCTTTTACCACCAATCGGAACTTATAGGCAACACATTTCTGATTCTTAAGTCTGTGAGCTGCAGCCGGAGACAGGAAGTATTTGGGAGTGTCATAGTCATTGTTTTCAGTCTGCCCGCTCACAAAAGTTTCCTTCCTCTCTTCAGTACTGAATTCCTTAGCCTGGTTCTTGTAGACCACTTGGAAGACAGGGGTAGTGGTGGGCTTGGCCTCATCCTCGGAGGAGGGGTAGCTGCTACAGGTAGTGACCTGCTCAGCCTTGTCCCAGTCAGCACTTAGGCCAGTGGCCTGGGCTGGCTTCCCCGTGGTTGAGGTTCTTCTGCGGGAAGGTGACCAGGAGGCCTGATTCCTTTCCCTCTGGGCCAGGCTGGGTCTAGGGCAGCTAAAGAAAGATCTGAGCAGGGTCCTGGGAGCCGGCTTTCTCTTAGTGGCTTCTGCCACAGAATCGGAACCTTGGAGGTCAGCCAGGTCCTTGGTTCGCTTCTCTGTTTCGCGGTAGATCCGGCAGTAGAGTATAGTCATGAAGGAGACAGGGATGTAGAAGGCAGCGATGGCAGTCCCGAAAGTGATGGTGGGCTCGGACAGGAATTGGATCTGGCACTCATCGGGTGGTACTGTCCGCTTCCCAACCAAGTACTGCCAGCAGAGGATTGCCGGCGCCCAGAGGATGAAGGAGATCAGCCAGGCCAAGCCAATCATTATACCAGCCCTCTTTGGGGTACGCTTGGCCCGGTATGTCAGTGGTCTTGTGATGGAAAAGTAACGGTCAAAGCTAATCACCAGAAGGTTCATGACAGAAGCGTTGCTGGCGACATAGTCCAGTGCAAGCCAAAGGTCACAAGCCAAACTCCCGAGAACCCAGCGACCCATGAGAATGTAGGTCGTGTAGAGGTTCATGGAGAAGATGCCAATGATGAGGTCTGCACAGGCCAAGCTGAGCAGGTAATAGTTGTTAACTGTCTTGAGCTGACTGTTGACTTTGAAGGAGACCATGACCAAGACATTGCCCACAATGGTCATCAGGCTGACCACAGCTGTAACAGCTGCAATAGCGATGACCTCCCACAGCCCATGGCGTTCCAAAGCCTGGTGATTTACTGGGGTGCCGTTGACCGTGGTTTCGTTGTGGTAAGATTCCCCCTCCATTCTGGTTCAGGAAGTCACATTCAGATTTAGTCTGAGGTTAGGGGCTGCTCTCTGTTCTGCCTCCCCTCTTGACCAGTATCTGGAAGAGACATAAACAAGTCAGCTCCACTCAGCAGACTTCTGCATAATTTTCTTTTCTATTTTGGAAATTGCTAACAGAATATGAGAGGTATTCTGTCCATCAATGCTAACAGAATATGAAATGTATACAGAACAAGATGCTGGATTATCTAACCTTTATTTCTTAGAAAATGACTTAATTTACTATCAAACTATTGTTAGTATTGATATGGTTGAGATAGTAAAGTATAAGATAAAAGGTAAAATAAAATTTTGACATTATATATATACATATGTGTGTATATATACATATATGTACACATCATTGCATTTGATAACAGTATAGTAATATATGTATATATTTTTGTCATTGCAAATTGTTAAATTTAATTAAATTAAACCCAACAAGTATTGGGTTTTAATTATAATTCTCCAATGGGCAGTGGTGGTGCACACCTTTAATCCCAGCAATCAGGAGGCAGAAGCAGGTGGATCTCTGTGCTTCGAGGTCTACAGAGTGAGTTCCAGGACAGCCAGGAGTGTTTCACAGAGAAACCCTATCTAAACAAAAACAAAACATAAACAAAAAACAAAACAGACAAACAAAAAAATTCAATGAAAAATTCTGACATTTTATGCATGTGAAAAATGAATTTTGGTCTTCATACTCCAGTGCCTCCCTCTTCCCACTGAAACCATTCTTCTTCCACAGAAATCTCTAGACCTCAGTGACATTTTATCGCCCTATCGATTGTATTCACTCCCTCCAACAATTCCTCCTAGATTTATCCCTTTTCCCTACCCACCCAACTTTGTGCCCCCCCCCTTTTTTTAGTGTGTTATCATTTGCATTTTAGTGAGCTCCAATGCCAGAGTAGCATTCATATGTGTGAAACTGCTGCCCTCTTGTGGCGATATTTTTAGAAAAGGTTGAGAAAATGAAGGCGAGATAAAGATGAATAGAAATTGCTTAAAAGGCTGGGAGAGGGTGAGGGATAGTAGGGTGGGTATGAAGACTAGGAATGGGGGTGGTGGCTAGGGGATGGGGCAGAGGTGCGGTGTGGGAGTGGTAGACTTGAATACAGGGATAGAAACCGGAAATGAATATCAGAGGTAGGGCTCAGAACTTGCAGTCTTAAAACGTGCCTGCATGGATCTCTATGATGAGTTCCAGGCCAGCTTGGTCTACAGAATGAGTTCCAGGACAGCCAAGGCTACACAGAGAAACTCTGTCTCAAAACCCCAAAAAGACCATGTCTTTTCACAGTGTATTAAAAATCAAGGAGAACTCTATTGAAGGAATTTGTGAAGAAACAAAGTTTTTGGATTTTTTTTTTTAAGGTGGCTCTAAGTAACACACATTTAATTTCTTTTGACTTATAGAGAAGAGCAGTTCAAAGCTCATTTCAATTAAGAAATGGCCTCTTGCTGGGCAGTTGGTGGCACATGCCTTTAATCCCCAGCACTCAGGAGCCAGAGGCAGAAGGATCTCTGTGAGTTTGAGGCCAGCCTGGTCTACAGAGCGAGTTCCAGGACAGTCAGGGCTACACAGAAAAACCCTGTCTCAAAAAACCAAAACAAGAGATAGCTTTATAGCTTTTGGGGGGCAAGAGATGGGGAATGGGGAAGGGACCAGAACAGAGGAGGAAGGAAGGAGAAACTGTGACTGGGCTGGAAAAAAAAAAAAAAAAAAAAGGAAAGAAAAAGAAATAACTAGCTAATTAATTTTAAAAAATCGGGGGAAAGAAAGAGATGACTTCTCATTGTCACTGAAGTGATAGTATCTGGAGCAGGATTTTAACCAATGCCTTAAAAAACACTGTTTACCGGTGTGCTAGATGCCTTGGAGCATAAAAGATGCTCAAGTGCATGAGAGATTTGATCTTGTTCCCCAGTACAGAGCCAGGAAGAAAACTGAGCCTTCTGGTCAAATTCTTGAGACAGGAAGGTCTATTCCGAGGACATTAAAAAGTCGCACCGTCGCTGTAGGACAGTTGAAAGCCAGTCAGACAGTTATATTCCAGGACTAAATTGGAGTCACTGGATTCACAAGTGAAGCTTGTTTCCCAGTCCTGGGGTCAGAGTGGGGATTCCCTTCCCTTCTGTCTTGTGTAGTATCCCCAGACTTTGGGGGAATATATCATTTTTCTACGTGTGCCATGTCATTAAAAAGCCTTGGCAGTTCTTCTGCAATTAGGTTTATGGGAAATTCTGACAACCCAGAATTCCTTGGCAGTTAGCAAACTTCCCAATGGAAGTAAAAGCAAGGATTATGTATTTATCTTTGCATTCCTAACAAAAGCATCTTTTTCTGTAAGTAACCGCTAGACAGTGTCTTAAGGAGGCAGTGACATACTGCATCAAGCAAAGCTAATAAAACCAGTAAGATGAGGACTGACATACACATGAATCTGGGTTTAGTTCCAAGGCGAATGCATCTTGGTTGTTGTTTGGGGCTGTGGTGGAGGGAAAGCTTTGTGAAACATGGGACAGAGGGACCAGGAGGAGAAGAGTGGGGGGAAGCTTTGCTACTGACCATGCCTGCATGCTCTTGGTCTGTGGACCAAGGTCGTGCCTGTAAGCAATGCCAATTGAAGGCAGAAGAGGGAGTCAAATCCCCAAGGACTGAGTACAGACAGCCCTGTACCCCGTGGATGCTGGGAATCAAGCCCTGGTTTTCGGAAGAGCAGTCAGAGCTCTTAAGTGCTGAACCTTCTCTCTAGCCTGGCCTTTTCTTATATTTAAATAAAGGTGAAAATGACCCACTTTTTCATGATAAAGAGATCGGCAGGACATCAGACAATAAAAACTGGTGAGAAGAGAGATTCAGAGAGATTCTGGAGAAGATGTTCCCTGGTAAGTGAGCTGGCACAACACCTAATGTGGTTATAGAAGTGATTGCCTGGGATTAGAACAGAGTGGAAGGGGTGGAAATTATCTTCTCATTCATTTGTTTTTTTTTTTTTTTAAGAAATAGAAAAGCTGGAAAACAGTTTACAGTTCGGAGGGAAGGCCGTAGATTCTCTAACTGTAATCCAAAAGTTTGGAATACCTTAAGATTTCATCATTACCTGACAGTCTTTGTCTTTTCCTTCATCCCCAGCATAATGTGGCCAGGAACTTGGGGTCAAAAAATAGCTCCTGCCAGATTCTCTCTCTCTGTAACCTGTGAGCACCTCTCAGCAGGAGAGGCAGATGTTTAAAATATACGACAAATGGAAAGTCAGGCTTGGTGGTGCAGGCCTGTGGTCCCAGCTACTGGGCTTAGACAGATGGATGGACAATTCCTTCCTTCAAGGGCTACAGAATCAGTAAAAAGGCTCTCCAGTGCAAATTAGAGATTCTGTTTCAACAGGAAAAGTAAAAACAGCAAATTTTTTCTTTTTCTGAGAAATCCTACCGATGTTTGCCAGTTTTCTTTTTCATGCACTCAGCATAGGAAGCAGTTAAACTATTTAGCAGTCTGCCTGTTTACAGAGGGAAGAAAAAGGAAATTGTGCTTGTTCTATGAAATTTATATTTGCAAGTGGTCAATGGTTTATTTTAGTACTATCACAAACAGCCAGGAGGTGGTAGTGTAAGGTTTAATCCCAGCACTGGGGATGCAGAGGCAGGCAGATCACAGAGAGTTCAAGGCCAGCCTGGAATATATAGTGGCCTCTAGGCCAACTAAGGCTAATGAGATTCACTTAAATTTAAAAAAGAAGGAAGGAAATAGCTATTATAATATTTTCTTTTCCAAATAAGGAGAAGCTTCATAGTCTTGAGCTAGGACTTATGAAGCTTTTTTGGGAGGTTTAAATGAAAGCCCAAATATTACCTGATGGTAGTAATTTTCCAACCTGAATATGCATCAAAGTTACCAGCAAGTTCCTGAAACAGATCACTGGGAGGCTTAGAAGTTTGGGTTTCAACAAGTGACACCATGTTGCTGTTCCACATTCTGAAACAACTACTTAAGGATTGGATCTCCTTTTATAAAACTAGAATTGGGAGGGATAGAAAGAGTCTAAGAGCCAGAGGTGTGTTTGGTAGGGGCTGGAGGGTGGCCCAGATCATAATAGTGTCTCCTGAATATGCAAGACTCCTATTCCCATGAACTCAGCAGTGCAAGATCAAGCCAATCAACATTCCAGCCTGGAGACAGGGCTCATGAGCTCCTACTCCTGACTGAGGAGCTATTGACAGGCGATGTCCTCTAGGGGGACAGTCAGTTTTCATTAGGGGTTTGGCCACTGGATGGGTCAGCTATGCTTCGGTGGATGGCTCCATGAATACGTGGGCAACATGAATTGTAGTCTGTAGCTCTTTAAAAAGAAAAAGAAGAAGAGGTTCTGTGGCTCTTAAAAAAAAAAGAAAGGAAAAAAAAAGAGGTCAAATAGTTTGGAGGATATAGATTGTATGTGTCAAATTCTCAAAATAGTAATATATTAAATAAAAATAAAAAACAAATGAAATGGGCCAAACATACTAACTATACAAAAAGTTACACTTCACTTATTTTCTTAAGACTCTCCCTAGGTGACTGACACTTTGTTTTTGGTATCTTATGAGTTTGCTAAAGAAAAACTAATTTTGGAACAGACACAATGGCATCTATTAGACCTAGGATTATCAAGTGAAAGCAACACCAGGCAGAAGTCACCATTCCTTCTATACAGACCAAACGGTCTTTAGATTCTTCCACGCAGTGGGTTCTTGTGTGATCTTTTCATCACTGGTGAGACTTTCTCTGTGCATCAGAACCGTATAAGGGACCATCCTGGTTAAAATGTAATTCCAGCTACTTGGGAGGCAGTTGCTGGAGAACTGTGAATTTAAAGTCAGCCTGGACAAATCAGTGAGACACTGTCTCTTATTGCTGTAGTGAATACCTGATAAAAGCAACTTAAGGAAGAAATGGTTTGTTCTGCATTACAGTTTCCAGGAGCACAACCTAGCATGGTGGGAGCATAGAGTCAGGAGGTGGCTGGTCACATTGTACTTGTCACAAGTACTTGTCCTTAGCTTGCTTCCTTG